TAGTTAGACGATATCATGTAATTAGCAAGTGAAAAAGAGCGAGAAAATGTTCGGAAACTATCGGATCCAATTCGTCGGGTTCGGAGTCGGACAGCCGGAAAGGCTTTCGAAGATTTATCCTTCTGAAGGAATGGCATAGCGTGCTCACCATTTAATTTTGATTTGACCGCCAAAACCGCACCGCTGGATTATGTTGGCAATTTAATMGAATAGACTAACCCAATTTGACATTATATTTTCGGTAGTTAAATAGTTTGTGCAAGAGATCTATGGTGTACCGGCCGATTAGCTTCGCTCCCTCGCTCGCTTTTTAGTTAGGACCAGAGCCGAAATAGTCTATCCGGAATGTAAGTCGATTCGACGCCTCAGCTTCACAGAATGTCTCGGGGGAATCGYCACAATCTTTTTCTTGATTTATTGTGGAAGAGAGGTTCGAATCCAAGGATGAATGTTTGCCGCTTTTTTTCTCATTTTTACATTTTCGCCCTTTTGGTCTTGCTTGATTTTTTTGCCTTTTAAAAAGGCTTTTTTGTTTGTTTTATTCTCTAACATACTACAAATCTCTGAAGCGATGAACTGMGGACCTTTGGCAGGCTGGAAGCGACCTTCAATGTCTTAATTTCACCGTGAAAACTAATAACGTTTCAACTGAGATATTGCTAGCTATCAAAAGACCCTTTGGCTCAATAGGAGGCACTTCACTCCTCCATGTCTTTCGTGAAGTGTCTTGATSGTCTGATCGTTGCTTGATATCAGCCATTCTGCAGTACGTGATATRACCAAGTATTAAAAGATAATTTGACGGAATTTGAACGATGTCATTGTCTTGGGTCTTAAAGACCAGGCCAGTTTGATGTCTGATAYTGATATAGGTGGATATCATTTGAAATACCGTAGATCACGGAGATCATGACGACTGATTCCGTCAGAACGGCTTTGATACGTGATGAATCATCGTCAGCAAATAATCCCAAAGAATTAAAATAGACATGAATGTACGTGAACACATTCTACGGAGGGATATTGTGGCGACTTGCGTGGGATGTACCGGTGTTTATTTAGAAATTAACGGACTAAAAACGGAAAATCTTGCGTACGTAAATCTGTGACCCGTATTACGTAAGGAAAGCGCAATGCTGGTTGGTACACTGCAGTTCTCCTGTTTCGTCTGGATGCCAAAGTCCCCAGCGGACAGACTGGCACGTGAGTTCGATATTTCAGGATTTGGTCACGTTTTGATGGTCAGTCATATTGATCGACGGAGAAAATAGGAACAAGGAGGAACTAAAGCTTACCGAGTTTTATCTATTTTAGAAGACAGCCATTCTTTCTGTGCGATTAAAAAGAAAAAAAAACCGTCTTTTCAAAAGGAAGCTTTCAAATACACAATATTTTCTTATTTTTAAACCACACACAGAAGGGAACACGAATTATGAAGGAATTTGTACTCTCGACTCTCTGGACGCGATTAAAAACCGAGACAARTTGTCCCAGTTAACTCCTGTTTCTTATTATCCCCAAGCATACCTCTCATATATCTGATGCAATCAAACTGTAGAGAAGTATATGATAAGTGAAGCCATATGAGAAAGAAAAGTTTATCTGTGATATCAAGCAATAAGAATTGTAGTCTAAATTTAGCAAAAAGTGACGTCTCRTATCAGACAGAACAACTGGAAATACTACACATGCTTGAGTTAGTGCGTCAGCCAATAGGAAGCAAGTACACACTTATCACGATGACATCGGTTCGACACCATGTATTATTCAGTGGCTGATCGTCGCGGACTGCTGTCCCAGGTAAGTTTATTGTACTGTTTATTACGGCTTGTGAAGATTTATTGCTTATCGTGTAGGTTAATGGKGATGCGTAACGCTAAAGCTATGTTATGATAACTGTTGAATATGCCGCTGAATGTTAAGGACTTGTATTGTTATGTTGCAATGTCAATTGCCTAACATTAAAGCTTAATAAYTATATATATTTGATACAAGAACTATACAAAGTATCATATTCGTTTAATTTTGAAGGTAATTTATAAAGTAGTAAGTTTCTGAGTGTATTTTTGGAGCGCATTGAATGAGTCACTTTGCAGCCCACTGTTGAGGCATGTGTTACTCGAACCCTATAACGTTATACAGTATTAGACAAATAGTACCCCCAACATTGACTCTTATAAACACTCTGACAGACTAAATTACACAAGTACATAGATCGATAAACACGGGCAAAAAAATGTAATATTGAATAGACCCACTAATAGGAACAATAGGTAAATAATTGTCAATTTGTAACCGATAATCTGCATAGTGCAGGTTAATTGCTGATAGCAAAGTGCTACAGCAAGCTTAAGAGAATCTCATTTACACCATCTGTTAGCTTCATTTTGTGGTCTGTGTCAGGCTGCGAGTTCAGAGTTCCTTCGGAAAAGATTAAGTGTAAATATTTTTACGAATTTTTACTTTCATAGCGTGGCGCAGGTATTGATTTCGTTATCTTAACACGGCCGACTGCTCTGAGGGCCGCGATAGGGCCACTCTGRTATCACTTTTTGAATTTGACTTTTGATGAAGAAATTCCCATGATTTCATTTAGTATCATTTTTCATTTTTCATTTGTAATTGATGATTTATATTTCTCACTCCCGTTACAAAACAAGATATATTTACACATTGGGTACTAAAACTTTCTGAAAATTTTCGGCCACTTTTCTTTCGATCCTGTTTTCTTTCAAACTTCTACGCAATTTATACCACTGTTTTCTTAATATCAGGGTCGTTTCAGTACCAAAGGAAAAGATACTGATTTAGATAGTGAGCAGATAATGTTTTCAAATTTGACTGTTGACTTTCTTTCCGGCATGAGCTTCTAGCTTGACTCGCCGTCACAATAAAATAAATCGCGCGCGAAATGTTTAACAAAGTTGCAAAAGTGCCGGATATTCGACACCAACGAAGAACCAACAATAGCAAATAGCAAAGATAGCTATAAAGGTCGATGTCAGAGAGGCTTTGTGTACCGTAAATGATTTCTATGTATAAATTTCCGCTTCAAATTTTGAAGCTTCCGCTCCGGCAGGTTTGTTTTTATCGCCATGTTAGCAATTTTTTAATTGAACTGTTTTATACTTTTTGAGAAGAAACATATTGCAAATTGGAACGAAACTAAAGTCTTGATGTTGGTTTGATGTGTAAATTTGTCGTAGTAAATTCCATCCTATAAGGAAATAAGTATACACCATAAATAGAATATTACTGTATTTAATCTCGGAATAGAAAACACGTTCCAACGTGTCGCACTTGCAGTGACACTGAACATCGACCCTTGCGAACAGGCATCGAACAAATACTGTATGATTACAAGCAGCTATTTCTGATGGAATTGTAGTCTGGATGGAATCTTTCSTCTAAAACTTACAAAATGTAAAATACAATTTTTCCTTATGCGCAATGCATTCTGGGTGCGGCAAAACAATCAGCAATGAGATAGGTAACTCGGGATTTCTTATTTTGACAATGTAACAATGGCCGAGTACCAAGCCAGATAACTGCTGTTCAAGGCGATCAAAATACCGTTATCAACGACGGGATACGTGCAACTTGATTCGACTTTTTCACTGTCGTATTTAGCTTAAATTCTATTAGTTTTAGAACTTTGCGTGAACCATAGAATCTTTAGGTATAGTCACGAAAGGACAGGAAGGCATTTTTTTTGCACGCGAAATGTCCTTGAAGTGAAGTCAASCACAATATGGAGCAATATAAGAGAATCTAAGTGTGCCATACAGTCTCGCGACCTTACGTGCGTCCAATGATGGTCATGCAGCAATAGCAGGTTTAACAGTTCACTGATTACTTTAACGCAAGATTAAAAGTTATGAACTTTGAAAAGTTTTCATTAAGGATTGATTTGAAGTTGAGGAATGCGCATTTTGTATTTTTTGCCTCGAGGCATTTTCAAAAGTCGTGTGTCAGATCATGGCTCTTGGATTTTGGTACGAAACAATAGTATCTCTAATCAGGTGAGTCTTGCATTGTTTTATCCATTCGAACTAGAAAATCAAAGCAAACATTTCAAACATGATCTATAGCACGACATAAAACAGGCACGTTCTCATTTCTTTGATTTTTGAGCAGTTTTTGYACTGGAAAGATGTTTTGAAACGTGAGCCAAAATCTACACTGAACTTCGGTAATTGCATAGCTTTCCATGTTGAGACGTCGCATTACCCCTGAGCAAAAGACCTAGTAAGCTTAAATTTACGTTATATAGTAAATTYAAACCCTCTTTAGTCGCATTAATAWTGAAAAATAAGTCATTGTTTCTTGTATCGTGCTGTGCCAAATAAGTCATGACAAAACAACATCGTTTATGAATATATTATAGACCGACACACGARCGAGGCTAGTGGGTCCTATTGACGTGATCTATCCAAACTGTACATAAATCACGCAATTGTCAAATGGTCCACGAACAGTATCAATCTATCAAGTGTTTATAACWCTAGTTAYGAGTTGCAATGGAAATTTGATAATAATAACAGAAAATATTTGGTGCAGCAATCAAACTGGTAAGTTTTTTGCCATTGCGCGGTGTTCTAGGCAAGCTGCATAAATAGTTGCTTCGAAAAGCAAAAATTATGATAGTGGAATTCAGTGCGAGTTCTTACTGATTTCGATGTAAACGTATCAATGAATTTAGAATTGATTTTATTGGAGTTGGTGAAGGATTCACTACTCCACGAATGAGTATTTTACAATCAGCATGGACATCTTGGTTCGCAAACATTGGCACTGTCCATGTATTTATATTTATAAGAAATCAAAGTGCATTTTATTTCATTCTTGCATTGTGATCAATTGTGCATATAGTTAATTGTTAATACAATTTCAKTATTAAATGATAAATTTACAATAGTTACAAGAAAACTAGGTACACTTTAGTGAAGTTACCTTATTATATTCTATATCCGGTCCTCTCGAAACTATATCAAATGTATATTTATATATCTCTTTATAATAACRAAAGTGCTTTCAGCTGCTTTATTAGATGTGCTTTTGCTTTCAGTTTGTCGATGGAAGCCTTAAACAATCTAAGAAAATCTCTATACTGATAATAATGTCTCTCTATAAACCTCGAAGAAACGAGATAAACTGAAATGTTTTACTTGGCTATTTGTTTGTCTGCATTTATGAATTCATTTACCCAGAAGAAGGCGCGGTTGTTGTGGTTACTTTTTAATATGACAGCTAGACTTTTCTCGCTATGGTATCGTTGTAGTTAAGGGATTATCTCGGTAGGCCATTATATAATAATCCACTGCCTACGCTTCAATCTTTTTAATTGAATCGTAAGCGTAAACATAATCGTTTGATCTGTTCTTACAACCTGCTAATGGCAAGGTGTGGAGACAGTTTTAAGGGCTTAAAATCGTCTTACTATTAAAGAGTTTTGGCTTAGTGTTTAATAGCATTGCATCTCTAACTGAGCATGGAACAAACAAGATACTAAGCTGTTCATTGTTATTTTTTCTAGTAATAAACACGTTGTTACAACATCAGCATAACATCCTTCTTTTCCTGATCATCATTAAGATATCTTTAATTATCAACTCCATGATACAATAACAATTTAGATAAGAAATGGATTTGGTTCTTGTTAAATTCCTCGATCCAATGCCTAACATTTATGAAATATTTGTAAAATGGTAATATTGAGCCGTGAAAAAGTCCATCCTTCTTAGTGTTCACTTGCTAAGTCTGACAAGTCCAAAAAGTCTATAAGCACGCATGTCATGCTCTTTTAAAATGGCTATTTTTGCTCAAATGCCGAGCGTTTGATATATGATGAATTGACAAAATCTCTTGTCGCCATTTCGTCGCAAGATCGAACGGTTGAATGCGTTTTTCGAAATAGTTGACTAGTCAACGGTTAAGCAAATAAAATAGACCAAGGGTTATCTATCTAATATGAACGATGCGTTAAGGCTTGATTAGCTTATCAGGACTTTCCGTATACATTTGTTCTACATTTGAAATAATTATTGGATGATATTAGGTGATATTAACGTTTTCTTGATTGGATCGATTAATCGAGTACTTGATAATACGTCATTGGAAAATACTGTCACCATGGCAACTGCGAAATCGCGCTTTTGTATCATAACAGARAGGGATCATGCTGYGTKACTGTATTTTTGAATCTTGGTTTAGTTTTATACATTACATAAGTATAGTATTAGAAATGTTTATTTCCATGTATGTACACTATATAGTCTTGCAAGGAACCATGGGATAGATTGGGTCATAAAAACATGTGCTAGGAATTTTTTATAAACGAGATTAGTGCAATGATGATGATATCAATTTATCGTACTAATAATGAATAATGATAATTTTATTGACGATATGAAGTGTTTTGTGTATCGTTTAAAGTCTTATAAGTCTACAACAATAGGTGAAGTATTGCTAGAAACGAATATATATTAATTAATTGCTGAAGTTATCCAACAAAGCCCGCGGCAAATTTCTAACTTCAGAAGAACCGAATCTGACATAGAAAGACATCAAAATATACCGCCGTCTACAGTTGCATTGATTTTGTAGGCACAGATTTGGCCTTTTTAGGTTCTTAATGTTTTCAAAAGATAGTTGTACGCCATAACTTGTTTACAGTTGACCTAAGGTAGTTTGTACGATGAACTTAGTTTTTTGTGCCGGTCACGCGCAGGGTGCGTGCCACACTTTCTATATCGTATACAGGTATTATGTTATGTAAACCTGCAGTATAGGCCCTGGTATAGGCCTTCGTTGTTGTAAAAATAATGAGTTAATTCTTAATCTTAGTACTGCTACGTCATCAAAAGGCTTAGCACATTATTTTTGACTAGGAATATTTATTTAGAGTAAATAGTCTTTAAAATATTATAATTTCTTGGTTATTTCATCCAACTTTGTCATTGGAATTTTTGAATAGAAGAAAAAGAGCGAGGGACATGTATAGAAATATGGCGCCCAGAATCTTTTCAATTGACAGATGTATTGATAACTGCTTTGATTTATTTGTGATTTATTTTAGGCGAACTGTCAGTTAATGGTATTAATATAATTAATTATCATTAGTGAACAATAGCATCTAACAAAATAGCATTCAAYCACTTTGAACGGCATACCGCACATACCTTACAAGAAGGAATGTRAAGAGGAAAATCTAAAAAGACTATTACATGACCTAAGTAGTATAACCCCGTTGGATTATACCATGCATACCTGGGCATTACTATTGTGTTRGGCTAGACTTTTATAATCAAACAAGTGCTCAAAGCTGTCAGTAAGATACCTCGGGCATAACTTTATTTCATGATGAAAATTAAAACGGAAAAGACTCTTGAGATAACTCACATTGTTATAGTATACATATATATATATGTTATGGTATAGCCCCCCATGGCTGAACCATGGGAATTTTAGCATGGTATTTTTGTGATAAACGGGAACATGTGCTTAACAAATGCCACCGCTTCGTAAGAAGTGGGTTATGGTGCCAGGTTTCTTGACTTCAGCTTGCAAGTGTAAAGATTTGCTCGTTAGGCCCACAAATCAATTTTGTTTGTGTGCACATGGATTAAATAAATAGCTTGATAAATATGTCAATGATCTTAGACAACAAGTGCTCATTGAAACACAAACAGTGGTTGTATTGGATGTTTTAAAAGGCAAAGCTAGTTTTCCYGTACATAGAWTATGATGTCAATKTTTTGTTGGGRGAGAAGATACAACATTCTATACACAAATGTGACCCGTTCCTTTSTGATTGTTCCACCCTTTTCGAAAGTATTTGAGTGTCACAAGATTTGATCTCAATKAKCTGATAAATGGGATGGTTRGGGACATTGTCAAGAATGTGGCCCTCTCCTTGACATCGACAACATCAATAAGTTAGCATTCTACCATAACGAAATCCCAAATCGTTTGCATGTGATTCCATTTTGCTGTCTAATCTTATCTAATCAWCTTAAAAAGGCGGTGGTGTCAATTGTTTTTTGTATGATTTATTCGAGGACATTGTTTTCTCTAGTTGTTTTCCCATTGGCTTACATTGTAACAATTGTAAGTGGGTGTGACAAAGGTCATTTATAWACAATGTACCCCGCGCACAATTGTTACATTTGGAGCACAAGGGCTTCTGACTGAAAACTCTATCGGTACTCTGATCTAGATGTGTCAGAAAGAAAATAGGCTGCTATATACATAAGTAAGTTACTTTCAATAATTAGTTGTTTTTGGTATTATCATTAGTGTGGTTATAAAGTACATGAATAGTTGAACGTTTTACCAACTCTAGTTATGTGTAGGGTTACTATCCATAAAATACAATTCCCACATTCATAACTAATTCTGATTGGGTGCATCGAGGAAAATGATCAAAAAATGTTTTTTTTATCGTCTAATTTTAAATTGCCTTATTTGGTGGATACTAAAGCAACTTAGAACACTTAGTCTCGTGAACTACGAGTTGATAGTCCATAAGTCCGTAGTCCACTCGACCTCGTGGTCAAATTTTTGAATATGTGCATATATGGAAAAGAGTGTACGTCGTTTTATACTTCCTATGCACCCTTCCAGTTGAGTTGCTCTTCCTCTAGTTGCATATATTTTGCAATTCAGAAACTGTATATATCCAGTTTATTGGAATTTAATGTTTGTTTTGTAATTTCCGAAACTGTTGAAGAGTAAATAGTTTACGTATTTTGTACAACAAATTTGAAATACAAATTAACTTCGACTAATCTGATCAGACATCTTTGCACGCTTAAGGTTAAACAACAATTCTTTCTTTCTGCACGAAAACACAACTGAAAAATTCCAATAACATTTCTCCTTTTGTTTTCATATTTGTATCAAAATGTTTCTAGTTTTGGTTTTATGTTTTGAAATCGTTCAAGGTATCCGTCATTTCCGCGTCGGCTAAGATCCTAGCCTGATTTTCAGACGGGGCCTGGGTCCTACGCTTCTCTCCGTGGGGGCGGAGAGAAGCGTAGGACCCAGGCCCCGTCTGAAAATCAGGCTACTAAGATCCCCGTGTGGATGTCATTTTGATGGTTGCACTATTAGTCATCGTCTATTGTGTGACATCATAGCAAACCGTTACAGTGTAACGCAAGAATGTTGAATACC